AAAGAGAAAAAACTGTTTTTGACAAGTGTGTCGTGAAGCGACAATTAAAAAAAAAATAAAAAAATAATAGAACCTAACCTAAGTACAACAAAACAACAAAAGTAGAGCCAGAAAACAATATATTTAAATTTATAAAAGGTATTTACAATTTTATAAAAAAATGAAATGAGGATGATGATGAATGAAGTGATACAATTAGATTATAAAAAAATAAAGGTGAGAGAATAGGGGAATATAGCGTTGAAGTGGGGCCTAAAAGTCGAAGCGACACACGTTGCGTTTGTAGAAGTAGGTTTCTTAGCAGCGACGGCACGCAGCGCCTGAAGCCAGCACACGCCGTTTGCGCTTGTAGAAGTAGGTTTCTTAGCAGCGACGGCGCGCAGCGCCTGGAGCCAGTTCACGCAGCGTCCGGAGCCGGCGCACGTAGCGCCTGGAGAAGGGGCGCGCAACGCTTAGAGCCAGCAGTTGCAGCGCCCAAAGGTAGCGCCGGCGGTAGGTGCACTCGGCGCCTGGAGTAAGTAGTAGTAGTGCCCGGAGTAGTGTGGCCCCCGCGCTTGTAGTAGACTCGAAGCGACTTCCGAGGTAGATGGAGGCTTGTAGGATTCCGGAGTGGCGCGGCCCGAGTTTGAAGAAGGCTTCGCCGAAGACTTCACGTGTAAATGGAGGCTTGCAGGATCCCGGGGCAGTGCGGCCCCGGGATAAGGCCTTTAGGAGATACTTCCAATTCGCGAACTGAAGCGAGACTGCCTTTCTTCACCGATTGTTCGGCTTTTATACCTTTCTAGAGAGAACGGAAAAATTATTTAAATTATACGCAAATTTTTTGTAAATGGTCAAGAGAAAAGAGGATTTATGTGTAATTATCGAAATAGGAATAACAGGTCGGTAGCAAATTTGAATATAATTTCCATGGAAACGATATAAATAAGAAAGACAAAACATGTCAAATTTTTGTTTTTGGTTTATAATAAGAAAACTATAAGATTTAAGTGGAAAATGAGATATTATTGATATAGGAAAAAAGGTAGCGCAACTGCCCACACAAAGTCCAAGATTGTAGAGTTACGGAAAACTAGCTAAAAGATCGAAAAAAGGTAGACTCCATTGACACCAATTTAAAAGTGCTGATAATGTGAAAATACGAAGTAGAAATGATTTGTTATTGTGTTCTTATGGTTTAAAATCGTTACAGGATCCTATGGAAATAAAGGTGATGTAAAATCTCCAGTTTTGAGGTGAAGGCAGAAAATCGAAACAGAATGGAAAAATGAATTTAAAATAATGTAAAATGATACGTGAGTAGCATAACACTACATTTTCCCCCCGACCCTGGAAAATTTTTGACTCAGCAAAAATTTTGATATATACATTCTAAAATAAACCATAAAAACACAGCTTTGCAGAAACAGACATCACCAGGCAAAATCAGATATACTATCTCTTACATACATCATCTGCCATTCAGGTAAGGGTGGAGTTCACATTCAATGACTACCACTCTAAAAGTGTGTTTTCAAAACGACATTAAGGCTTATTTAAGGAGTAGTCATCCGCTCCTGCGTGGAAAAAAAAAATTAGTCGAAGAAACACCACTCTTAAAAGTGTGTTTTCGAAAGGACATTCAGGCTTATTTAAGGAGTTGTCAATCCAGTTTTGAGGTGAAGGCAGAAAATCGAAACAGAATGGAAAAATGAATTTAAAATAATGTAAAATGATACGTGAGTAGCATAACACTACATTTTCCTTTTTTGGGGGAAAATGTAGTGTTATGCTACTCACGTATCATTTTACATTATTTTAAATTCATTTTTCCATTCTGTTTCGATTTTCTGCCTTCACCTCAAAACTGGATATTTTACATCACCTTTATTTCCATAGGATCCTGTAACGATTTTAAACCATAAGAACACAATAACAAATCATTTCTACTTCGTATTTTCACATTATCAGCACTTTTAAATTGGTGTCAATGGAGTCTACCTTTTTTCGATCTTTTAGCTAGTTTTCCGTAACTCTACAATCTTGGACTTTGTGTGGGCAGTTGCGCTACCTTTTTTCCTATATCAATAATATCTCATTTTCCACTTAAATCTTATAGTTTTCTTATTATAAACCAAAAACAAAAATTTGACATGTTTTGTCTTTCTTATTTATATCGTTTCCATGGAAATTATATTCAAATTTGCTACCGACCTGTTATTCCTATTTCGATAATTACACATAAATCCTCTTTTCTCTTGACCATTTACAAAAAATTTGCGTATAATTTAAATAATTTTTCCGTTCTCTCTAGAAAGGTATAAAAGCCGAACAATCGGTGAAGAAAGGCAGTCTCGCTTCAGTTCGCGAATTGGAAGTATCTCCTAAAGGCCTTATCCCGGGGCCGCACTGCCCCGGGATCCTGCAAGCCTCCATTTACACGTGAAGTCTTCGGCGAAGCCTTCTTCAAACTCGGGCCGCGCCACTCCGGAATCCTACAAGCCTCCATCTACCTCGGAAGTCGCTTCGAGTCTACTACAAGCGCGGGGGCCACACTACTCCGGGCACTACTACTACTTACTCCAGGCGCCGAGTGCACCTACCGCCGGCGCTACCTTTGGGCGCTGCAACTGCTGGCTCTAAGCGTTGCGCGCCCCTTCTCCAGGCGCTACGTGCGCCGGCTCCGGACGCTGCGTGAACTGGCTCCAGGCGCTGCGCGCCGTCGCTGCTAAGAAACCTACTTCTACAAGCGCAAACGGCGTGTGCTGGCTTCAGGCGCTGCGTGCCGTCGCTGCTAAGAAACCTACTTCTACAAACGCAACGTGTGTCGCTTCGACTTTTAGGCCCCACTTCAACGCTATATTCCCCTATTCTCTCACCTTTATTTTTTTTATAATCTAATTGTATCACTTCATTCATCATCATCCTCATTTCATTTTTTTATAAAATTGTAAATACCTTTTATAAATTTAAATATATTGTTTTCTGGCTCTACTTTTGTTGTTTTGTTGTACTTAGGTTAGGTTCTATTATTTTTTTATTTTTTTTTTAATTGTCGCTTCACGACATTTTCTCGAAACAGAATGGAAAAATGAATTTAAAATAATGTAAAATGATACGTGAGTAGCATAACACTACAAGTGTGTGTCGATATTATAGATATTTGTATAACTATTATTTCTATAGTGGAATATGCCCTCTCCATAGGTATATATCTCTATGGTTTGCTCCGATTATATTAGCTTATCTATTGTTACTTTGTGCACAAATTATAAAGTTGTATGTACTAACTACAAACCACAGACTAACTAGTAGATTCTACACGTAGATAGAGGATTTAAGATACTATGTCTATTATTCTACACGAATGATACAAACTTTGTGTCAGTCTGACGTGTTGATAAATTAGTATTTCTTATTCTTATTTTTATCAGTGAAAAAAGAAAAAACTGATTGATGCCGTATAGGTGCTAGGTGTTAGACTTATTATTGGTGACCAATTTGAAAGTAAGTTATATCGGGCTGCAATTATGTTCTTAATATTGGACAACAATACTTTTTCATTTTCAAAAAATTACCTAAAAATTTCCACCCAATTTTATTATAGTGACATAATTTTTCTTATAAATCTACTAGCCCATTTTCGTACAACAATGGAATATCCAAGCAAACGAAAATTAGCCCTTAAAGTGTCCACATCTCTTGCATCTCTACAGAGAATTTGTCATAATTACATTATTTTTTCATTGTAGAAAATACTGTTAAATTCCTAGTGCTGGGCACAGACCTTATATTTCTGAGTAGTTAATGATTCAGGAGGTTCTAACCTTCCTGCTCCAGTGTGGAATATCTGTTCCGAGACCACAATTTACTTACTGCTTGACAACAGTATTTAGATGTTATTGTTGGGTGTAAAAATGACTAATGATCAGACTACTAGAGTAAGCAAATAAGCTAAAAAAATTTTGTAAATAGTTTGTGCAACCTCTCATATTGTGTAATTAAAAAAAAAGTCCCACTGGGTTACTTTTCGTCAATTGTGATCCGATTTTGATAATTAAGTAATATTAAATAGGTTATAATATTTTTGGTGTGGTACCATATAAATTTGGAGAAAAATTCAAACCCAGATGGTGGCAAAATATGTTTTTATTTTAATTATTTAGATGACTGGTGATTGTGATATTTCTTAGTCTACTCAAAAGGATAAACATATTTTATTATAATAATAATAAAGCTTTATTTCTCTACACATTTACAGAGTTAACAAAAAAAAACAACTATTAGAAATTATTTATTGGTTTATGTAGTCCCTCTTGGGTAAAAGCCTCTTCCAACTTGAACCATTCTTTGTGGTTTTTGGCAATTTGCATCCATTGTTCTCCTGCTGTGTTAATAATGTCATCCACTCATCTTTTCCTTTGCTGTCCTACACTCCTCTTGCCAAATGGGCCCTTCCATTTTGTTGTTTGGTAGGTCTATCTTTTGTCCTGATATCTAGCTATGTGTCCTGCCCATTTCCATTTTTGTATTTGGCTATGCTGAAGTGCATCCATTAATTTAGTTTTCTTGCGGATATCTATATTTCTTGTTTTTTGTATTCTTCTTAATTTAAGGATGCTTCTCTCCATAGCATGTTGGCAGGACAAAATTTTGTTTTTCACTCTTTCAGTATACACCCATGTTTGGCTTGCATATGTTAGACTTGGGAGGATACACGAGTCCATTATGACCTTTTTCATTCTTAGGCTGTAATTTCCTTTAAGGATTTCTTTTTGAGCCCAATATTTTTTCCATGTTATGTATATTCTTCTGTCTATTTCTTTTTCATTGCTGTTTAGTTCGAAAGATATCAGTTTGCCTAAATATACATAGTCATCAACATATTCAATGGACTTTCCTTCTATCATCATAGATGAAACATATTTTATTAATAAAAAGTTACCACACAGCTACCACATGGAGCGGTTGTGATTAAATTGACAAGGCGACCATCATCATTATAATTTTTTTCAGGCAAAATGTTGTGCAGAGTTACCGTAGCACAAGGGACTCTGGAGGGACAAGTCCGTACAACCTATAACGGGAAGAAATATTACAGCTTTGAGGGCATTCCTTATGCAAAACCTCCTGTCGGGAGATTAAGATTTAGGGTAAGATAGAAGAACTAAAAAACAAATTATTTTTTAATGGTTTTCCAATAATATTTGCTACATACTGTATTGTGATTTTAATGGGAAGGAGGCAAACAAGCATACGGCTTATCTGAGGTAAGTGATCACCGTCGGCCATGAACATTTGCAACAGCAGGGAATTACAGGTGCGTTGCCGGCCTTTTAGGAAGGAGTAGGCTCTTTTATTGAAGGTCCCTTTGTCGTATCGGTCCAGAAAAGGAAAACCGCTCATGAGAGTAAATTCCAAAGTTTGGTCGTGTGAGGCAGAACATTTTGCGAAACTTGTATCGACTCATTAAAAACCGATGACAATGATTTCTTATATTTACGCCAACACTACACATGGAATAAAACTACTTATACGGAAAAAAAGCTAAAGGTACTTCGGATTAACTCTGACATCGGGACGTCAATCACCTCAGTCATAAGATTTTGGCATTGGCAGGCATTTCCCAAAGTCCTTCGCTACCCACTCGGCAAAATGGGTTGCTTTCCTTACACCATCACCATACGGCTATAATCCATAAACTTGGTACACATTAATATCCACTGTGCAATTAAGCAAATAGCTTTGTAAGTTGTCGCTAACGGTCTAAATCAGCCAGATCATCTTTTTCTTGTTTCCAGCTATTTTCAACAATTTTATTTTTGACACTTGATCAAATTCGTGAAGCTAACGGAACATACAATTTAATCGAGTGGCTAGCCCCTGGGCTTCTACTGATGCACAACTTTTTAGTTTTTGTAACGTGCTGCACTATATCGCTCATTTTTCCAGGATCCTCAAGAACCGGATAGTTGGACAGGTATACGTGATGCTACTAAACCAGGGAATAAATGTGTTCAAATTAATCCTTATTCTCCAACAAATTTAATTGGATGTGAAGACTGTCTGTATTTAAATGTGTACACACCATGTCTACCTGCAGAAAAATTGGAAAAGCTGCCAGTTTTATTTTTTGTACATGGTGGCAGGTTTCTTTTTGGTTACGGTGATTATTACCAGCCAGATTATTTGATAAGACATAATGTTATCTTAGTAACAATTAACTACAGATTAAATATATTTGGATTTCTATGTTTAAATATACCAGAAGTCCCAGGAAATGCTGGCCTTAAGGATACCATAATGGCGTTAAAATGGGTAAAAATTAATATTAAATATTTCAATGGCGATGAAAATAATGTTACTGCTTTTGGCGAAAGCGCAGGTGCAGGGGTTGTGACGTCATACTTAACTTCTAAAATGGCGGATAACTTGTGTCACAAAATAATTGCACAGTCAGGAAATATGCTTTCAGATTTATACATAGTGGAAGAAGATCAGATTGCAAAAGCAAGATACTTGACATCAATAATGGGGAAAGAAATATCCGATGTTAGAGAAATGTATGAATATTTAATAACAGCGCCTGTTGAAGAACTACTTATGGCTTTCATTAGCGCTGAATTAAGCAGGCCGCCGGCTATAATTAACGCTTACTTACTACCTGTAGTGGAGAAAAAATTTGAAGGCGTTGAACAGTTTTTCGATGAGCATCCGATTGTGACAATGCGTGAAAACCGTTTCAAAAAGCTACCAGTTGTCGTCACATTAAATTCACACGAAAGCGCGCTGTTTCTACGAAGAGACGAACACGGTAACATTGCCTATGAAAACAACTTACAGTATTTTATACCTCGCTATTTAGGCATTGAATATGATTCTCCGAGGGCTGTTAAATTCGCTAAGAAATTGCGTGATTTCTATTTCGACGGTAAAGATGTGACATTTAATGAAAAATATCTAGATTTCATTTCAGATGCTTACTTTGCTAGAGATACAGTTATGCTCATAGAATACTTATCAAAATATAACAAAGATACTTTTTTCTGTTTCTTCTCTTACTGTGGCAATATGAACACGAGCTTGATGCGGAAACTAGGCTTCAAAGGGGCGTCGCATGGCGACTTAATACAATACGTGTTTTATAGAAAAAATAAGGCTGCAAAATGTACAGTGAAGGACCAAAAAATTGTTGATTTTCTGTCAGAAGCTTGGTGTAATTTTGCTAAAAACGGGTAAGAATTTTAAAATGGCTACATAGTATTTAATTTCAATTCTATACAAAGAAAGTGGAACTTTTTTAGGAATTGAAAAATGTTTTTTTTATAAGATAAGGGTGACAAACAAGCACACAGTCCTCCTGATGGTAAGTGGTTGCTGCGACCCATAGACAACTATCCTCGATTACGAATCAAAATGCAGATGCGTTGTACGCAGTGAGGACTAAGATGGAATACCTTTTTCCAGTTAAAAGGGTCTCCGGTTCTCTACACTCATCATACAAAACACAGCAGCGTTAAGCTGCTATTTGACAGTGGTATTCTGTGAGAGAGTGGTCCTACCCCGATTGAGCCGACCCATTCGTGCTACAACCATACCATACTAATATAGCTGCAGCATGGCCACGTAAAAAATAATACGTAATTGTGGCATGTGAAGTCCAATAATATAGACGGCAGATCGGCGGACTCTTACTTGCACCAAACTCCTCTGTAATAGCGTGGCATTTGCCTAGAATGGGATGTACTTTATTCTATTGGATTTAGGATAGTACTTTACTTTTTCTTTACATATCATTAAGCGGTATAATTTTGTGTAAATTTAAAAATAATTTTAGATTCCGCCTACTTTTTCATTCTGGGTCTTGTTCTTGATCTAAGCTCTTTTATTACTAGGTTTATGCCAGTGCTTAACTATAATCTCACCTGATGGTAAGTGGTGATGTAACCTAAGATGGTGAAGCGCACTCCCTTTATTAATTCAGTGCACTTCATCATCTATATATCTAATATTTACTCGTTTCTTGAAGACACCTATATTGTATTCGGATGGAAAAACAGATGCTTGCAACTTATTCCACTCCTTTGCTGTACGCATGACGAACAATGTAGCAAAATAGGTTTGAATGCGTGGTAAGTCAGCAACGAAAAGGTATAGTAGACTGGAGGAACAAAGCTAAGCTAAGCTTTCGGCAGACGCAATATACAAAAGGCTAAGCAGTCGCTGTTAATTTCATATTGATGACAACACTTGAGTAATCCTCACTGTCACCATTTACGTTGCAATTTTAAGTGCTAATATTCTATATAATTTATACTTGTGATTACAACGTTCAGCAGTGGACTTGTGAAGGGTTGTAATGATAACGACGATGATGATACTTGTGATTGTCAATTAGTGAAACTCCAGCTTAATTTGTGATTTGGATAAACTAATACTACCAGTTTTACAATATTTTACGTTCTTAGCGGTGAAGGAAAACATTGTGGGTAAACCTCTATGACTGTGAAATAAAATATTTCCAGGACAACTCCGCCAGCACGCACTGGAGTAGCGCGGAGGTATAACTGATCCACAGCTCACTCGGGAATACTAGAAATCTGTACCCAGCAGTGATATGTACATATCTTTATAGGTTGCAATTATGTAATTATCATCATTATAGCCTATCAAAGTTCACTACTGAACAGGCTTCATAGGTTGTCTCACAAAAGGGATGTTTGCCATAGTTGCCACGCTTGCCAGGCGGGTTGGTAATTCTAGTTTTTTTAATTATGAATGAGTTGAGATCAAGGCGATGCTGCTGCCCATATCCTGTATCAGTTTCCCTCTGCTACCTCTTACGATACCCTAGGGATGATATGGGTTAGTGGATTCTCTTACGCAGTCAATATGCTCATGCAATTTTATCTTAAGGTTGCCTCGTTATTTGGTCCCATTTGTTACTGATTGTATGTTTTCAATTGTTTTAGTAAACCTACTTGGCGAGGCCAGCGAATACAGTGGCTGCCTTATGACCATAGAAATAGATTGTGCATGCACGTGGATGAAGAACTTCAGCTGGTTACTAATCCGAATTGGAAAAGATATTCGGCATGGGCGGACTTAATGGGCGAGAGGTGCAAATTGTAAGAGGGGAAAAGTGACAAGAAAATGGTATTTGATAGTTGGGTAATGTTAACAAAACGCATGTTGCGGAATGGGACAAAAGATACAACCCAAAGAGCGACAGAGTACACATTATGCTATGTACTGTTTTCGCTTTTTGTGGACACAAAACTGGTTGTGGTAGATGCTAGTTTAATTATATATTTCCGAATACGGCTAGTGCACTTAAAATATTAGGGGTAAAAAGGTTTTTTTTTAAATGGCAATAGAAGTACTTAATCTCATTTTTTTATCAGTTTTTCTCATAAAATATAGATCTGTTTGTGTTTTAAGACTATAATTTACACGCCAGAAGTTAATGGGGCAAATAAGCAGGGACATATGGTAATGTAGGTAATAAGGTTTGAATATACAGTAGAATCCATTTATTATGACTCCGTCTATATTGACCAGCTGCTTATTATGAATTAATTACACAGTGAAGTTTGGTTCTCATATAAAATTCTTTATAACAAAGTCTGATATAATTACCTCGCTTATTGTGACATGTCGCTTATTGTGACCCATGTTTAATAAATTGTGTCCGGTTATAGTGACCGTCATGAATCCTGACACCTTCGACAGTGTTCGGGAGAGTCACGTGATACCCGACGACGTTCGGCGCGTGCAGGGCTTTTTTGTTTTGAGTCTCAGTGGGTAATTAATAGTTGTAGATCAGTATGTGATATAACCTAGGGTTTACGCGTGGTTACTGTTAGGTGATGTAAACATCGCGTAGGCAGAAAAGTAGTCCTATTTTTGCCTAGGAGTCAGTCTGGGTAGGTTACCCTTTTAACTATTTCTGTCGCCATATATTAGTGCTCGCTCTGGTCGGTTCCGGTCTTAATGGTATAGAGTGCGAGTAAAATTACAGGTTGTGAAGCAATCCATCTAAGTTCTCAGAGGTATCTTAGACATGGGTTGCATGTGTCCATTGATTACCAGTAGCCATTTACCATCAGAATCTGATGAATTAGAAATTATAAAATTGAAGCCACTGTTCATCTGATGATCACATGGACTGTATAATTTCATAAGTTTTTTTTAAACATTTTTAAAACTACATTACAAAGCGTTGAAAAAGTTAACGTGACTCAAACCTAAGACGACTACCTTTGCGATGTGATTGTACCTACTGTAGGGCGTCGCCAAAAAATTTTAAAATGTTGCCAACAAATAATTACTGATTTCCTAGATCTGGTTTGTAGTTTTGAATTCTTGGGTTTTATGCTTTAGGCTATATTAGGCTTTCTAGAATCTCTTTAAGTATTGAACTAGATGTATGAAACGTATCATTTGCTTTATTTGTATTATACTCCGGTATCTTGCCTAGTAGGGAAAGGTTGGGTAGTGACGACCCTAAAGCTTGAATGACTGGCTATTAGATAAATATGAATTTTTTTACATTACTTTAATCCTCTCATTTTCATAACACATTCTTATTTTGAATATATCAAGTTATTTTATAATATTTTTAAGTTTAAAGCTGAAATGGGAAATTTACCACTTTACCTACCCAGGTCGGGTAAAGTCCCCTACACACAATACAATTACTTTATTTCAGGCATCAAGTACTTAAAAATTAAGATCATTGGTCCATAGCAATATATATCTTAACCTAAAATATAGACAACACCACTATTTAGGAAACTCTTCTTTGGCGCGTCCCTGTATCGGCGAAACACTACCCCAGAGGGACAGAAATCGGGAGCGAGGAATGTCTCTTTGTGTTTTGTAGGAACCTGGAGTACGTAGGATTTGAAGTTCGTTGGTCTATTAGACTCCAGACGCTGAAATGTAAAGACATTGGCTTCGTTCTTCCACGAAACGCAGGACGTCTTCTCCCGATGTACTTTTGTATGGACAAAAGTACGTCGGGAGAAGATGTACTCACGTTTATCTTGGCGGTCCCACGCTGGTTACAGACGGGTCTCTACCGACGTCTCTTCTCAACAAGAGTAAACCCGTCATTATCAATCGTGTTTCGGGTCACCACTGAAACTGATTTAATTTCCACATTCTTTCGCTTTCGACCACAAGAAGGTGCCTGTTGTGAAGATTTTCGGGCAACATCTGCAAACGTCTTCACTTGTTGTGAGGTTGGCTTCGGAGGAGGAGTACTTATGGGTTCAGTCAAGGGCTGAGGTCGTGATGCAATGACGACCGAGGGCGCCCTAGTTTCACGGTCATCAACCCGCTGACAGACAGTATCGCGTGACGGAGTTGCAATCATCGGTGAAATATGACTACTATTACGGTTACCGCGTGTGGTATTTACATTCTGCGATTGTTGTGAATTCGCAGATGTTGCAATTATGCTGCGCAACATAGTGACTTCGTTCCTCAGCTCTGTTGCGGCTCGTTCCGATTCTTCAAATTTGAAACGGATGTCGGTAATTTCAACTTCGGCTTTCAACGTGGTGATGTCTTTCAACAATCTGGTCACCCTACGTGATCGAACATCACGGGAGGCAGCTTGTGGAGATCACGCGCGACGAAAATTCGCGCATGGGATGATGACATCCCATGTCATCAGTGTCGGTCTCATTGAACAGCCTGAAGATGTCTTGCAGGTGTTTCTTACCGCGTCCATTCCTGTGACGTGTGATAAGACGGATTTGGGTCGCGGCTGAATCTGCTAACACCTACATAAACCCACAAAGCGGGTAATGTGGCATGGTCTCAATAAAATGCAATTATTCTTAGATTAATTCAAGTTTTATTTAAATTTGACTCAGGAAATAATCAAATGCGACAAAGGGACTTAAAGTTTCTTAATTATTCATTATTTTTCATTGTTCATTAATCACACACACAAATATACTTCAGAACAAATTTCGCAAAGAAACTCATCATCATCGTCATCACAATCGTCAACAAAGAGCCCATCGTTTACATAATATAGAACACTGTAAACAGCCACCTTCATGTTTTGATTTAGACCAAACTTAACCGCAGTAAAAGCATTCAGGGTCGTCATCCATACATCATTTTAGTAATAATTAATAACATTTTTTATAATAGTTTTGGCGTGTTTTTAAATTTTAGTTTTAGATTTTTTGCAGTTTTTGTTGGAACAGTAGCAGGTTTAGATACCCTTATTGGTGCTTTTGTTTCTGTTGTTTCTTTTCTTCTTGCAATTTTTTTTTATATGGACTGCTAGTTAAGATTGCTTTACGACCCCTCTTTCTGTTTAGTTTTTTTTTGTTTTAGGCAATGCCTTGGGAATCATTTACAAGTCTTTCGGCGGAACTGCGAATGATGTCCTTAGTTGTGGACATAACATAAGCGGCATTAATGTGCTTGCTGTTGCATCCAACATTGGCGGCTTCACTGCCGGTGTTTACTCCAAGGTATCTTGCAGAACTGATGGAAACTCTTCTTTCAGGTGTCTCATTTTCTTTGTTGGTCTCCTCTAGTTGTGTTTCCGGCTCAGCAAGAGCCAAAACTGTTTTGTCTGCAGCCAAAAAATCATGATCTTTGAAGGCGATTTACTGGCTCTATTCAACATTTGAGAAAACCGTTGACTGCAATAGACTGTTGTGCTGCCTCGCTATAGGCTTCGCCAAAGAGTTTGCTGAATTGGAATACATTTATTGTACTTCCTGGATTATTGCGAAGATACTTCTCAACTTTGCAAATGTAATACTTGTTCACAGGTCCCATGAAAGACATATCAAGTGGTTGAAACCAGTGACTGCTGTGTGGGGGCAAACATAATGTTACGAGCTTGGGGTTCGAGACAATTAAAAACTGCTGATTGAATTACCAAAATTGATACTTAATTACCGAACACTAATTACAACTGATGACTGATCACTTTAGTTCGCAGTTGTATCGCTTCGAAGTATTCGCTTATATAGCCAACTCAACATTGCCTCGGTCGCGGTCTATACCGGCCTTATATAGGCCCTCAGATAGTTTCCAGAGCCTTCTACTGTAAAAAAATCTAGTATGTTCGAGTACATATCGGTCCCGATTGACTAGGTGTCGATAGTTCCAGAAAGTTCTTCCATGGAAATTTCTAGAATGTTCTAGATTCGCCTAGTTCTGCTACTCGATACTAGAAGGCGCTAGTGGTATTAATCGTGGCGCGCAACAATAACATATCCACTCGTCTGTCGCGGCCATTTTGGCCAATATGACGCTTCTGTCGAGCACTTCCTGAAGTACTTCCAGACTACTTCCTGCTGTTTATCAAAATGACTGTTTCCAAGACATTTTGTGTGAAAAGTGTATTAAAGTCATATAGCAATGGAAACTTTATTAAATAAGCTATCAGATTAAGTATAACTTGAATATAGGTTTACTTCGAAAGTGATACTAATTCGAAAGTGAATGTGTTTTTTTTTCCCAATTTTCTGCATTAAAGGTGTAATAATTATAAATAAAAGCCTTTATTCCAAGTACTATTTATTTTACTTGTACGTCAAAAGCATATTTAAGAATAAATAATTAAAACAAAGAAACTTCTTTATACATTTTTTTGTTCACGACAATGTCGAGAACAAAAAATGTATGTATGCTGACTGAACAAACTTTTTTTAAAAACGGGCGGGCAACGTTGAATGGTCCAGTCTAAAGGTCACAATACCTTTAGACTGGACTTTTATTGCATCCTTGTTCTATTCTCTTGCTTATAGAAAAGTTAGACAGAGATAGGATTAGTAGAACCGATATACATTGATCTCTAAAGCTTCGCGGTAAAACGACGCCAGATTATGGACTTTGACAGATGCGCATATTATTTGACACGCCAGAATCGTTTGGAAAGACGAGCGGCAGTTACTCATCTTTATATCTATTTGAATTTATCTCTGTAAATTTTTTGGATATTCCTCATCAAATTTCGGTTCTGGAAAATGCTCAGTTTTGATGGACTTCTTATTAGATGGTAAATTTATGTACCACGATACTACTGCTTCTGGTATATGTCCAGCGTTTGCAAGCTTAACAATGTTAGCCTTTTTGGCCTCAGATGATCA